AAAATATGGGGGAAAAAGTCTCTGTTTTGGTGCTTATAGCCCGAGATGAGAAGGCAGGCATTCTTATACCATTTTTTTCTGATTTTCATGCCAAATGATGCAAGCACTATTTTGAGAAACATATGACATTATCTTCAAGAAAAAGAAAAAAATATAGAACTCCAAAAGAAAAAGAAAAATCAAAGAGAAGTATTCAATTAAGTATCTTAAGCACCTGCCCTTATGGCTGGCTCGATACTCTGCAGATCAACAGCTTGAAGTTGTCCAAACCTGTTTCACCCACGAGGAAGGCACATCAAAACATGAAAAGTAGACAATGCACCATTGCAGAACGTACCAAAAGTAAATAATGTACCACCGGTCCCCTCCCTCCCTCCCTCCTATTAGCTAGGAAAGACAAATATCAAGTATCCACCATATTCTTGGACTAATGCCTTGCAAGCTTCAACGGTTCTAACTATTTCAAGCTCAAGCACAACCAGAATTCTAGCTTGAAATAAGAACTCTGAACATTAGTTTCAGAATTTGAAGACAAATTTTGGTGATTAATTAGGCGACGATTCATCAAACTGCTCCATTCCTCACCCTTCATTCCTCACCCTGCTCGCAAAGAGGGGAAAAGAAAAAGACATATCTTACGTGTGTCTTACACACATTGGGGGTTCTCCTAATACAAATTGAGCAGTAACTTTATGTTACTCAGTTTTATCTACCACTTGAGTTCTAAGATACATAACTCTACTATCTTTAGCATAGTTAACTTAGCTAAAATAAATGTAAATGACAACACCTCTAAGGTACTAAAAGGCCATAGGTTCAAGCCCTGCATCATATGAACTAAGCTTGGTATTTAAGTGGAGAAGGGTAGAAGGGTGGGTCCATTATCGCTGAGTTCGAAGGATGCGGTTGGTCCTGAGGGTTGGCCCTAGATGGATTTCTCAGTCATCATTATTTAAAAAACAACAACTTCTCAGGTCACTAAATAAGTAATACGACGATGAAATTAAAGCCTGCTAACCAAATCAATAAAATTTCTGCTCAAAGGGACTCAGTTGAATTAAGAGCAAGATATCAAGTAAATGTTGAATTTGAGAAGTGTTTAACAAACATATCCCTCCTCGTAACCTTAATATCAATAAATCACTGGAAGAAAATTAAAACCGCAACAAAGTTTCAACCATTAGAACACCATCTTAATTCCTTTTTAATATTAACCAATGACTTAGAGGCAAACATATACAGAGACAAAAAATGCAGAGAAAGAACGGTACCAATCTATAACTTGTCGAATTTTGGGAGCAAATTCTTCAACCTACAAAGAAAACCCAAGATTAATTTTTGATTATATAAACAACAACAATAAGGTTAAATATGAAAAGAATAATAATTACTTGTTGGGGGGTGAGTGAAATTCGAGCAGTTTCAGCCAAACGAGGAACATCAGGAGGCTCTAGAACACTCGATTTCATAGAGTAGCTTCTTCGCTGCTTGATTGACACTGGTAATGAGGAAATGCCATTTTTGGTGAAATTGAAGAAGAAAGAATCAGTGGCTGGTTTCAGCAAATGCAAAGCTTTAATGCTGCTTCCCATGGATAGATAGTGTGTGTTTGTTTGATCGATGATACTACATTTATTTTTGGACTTAAGCCCATATTCACATTTTGGGCTGGACTGTCAATTGATTGGACCTATTTAGGACTGATCTCAACTTTAAAGTAAAAATTGCATGGGCGCCCTATTTGGTCGCCCCTTTTTAACTTATACCCCTTTTATTTTTTCGTTTGCATTCGTACCCATTTTTTTGTTAAAAATATTTTAAAAAGATAATTTTGATCTTCTTTAATAAAAGACTATTTGCAAACTACAGGACAAAAATTAAACATGTTTAGACTGAAGTTTTAGCAAATAAACTAAAAAACTTCAGCTTGTTTATACTGAAATTTGGGATAAAACTCAGGACAAAACTGTAGACTGCGTTACAAAATTTTAGCATGTTTTGGTATGAAATTTTAACAAATGAACTAAATAACTTCAGCATGCATTAGCAA